ACACAGCGTCTCCCTGACATGGCTGCATCAACACTACTGCTGTTTCTGAAACCACGCCTTCTTTCTTTGCGTGCACGTTTGGGCGGCATTATGCTAATATTTCCACATTTTGACGTAGATATGTGGGGGCGTGTTAGAACGAGGCGTTTTAGGTAGGTGTGGCTGACTCTTAACTTTTGTAAAGAATATCTCTTTGGATTTGAGACTTTAGTCTTTGCAACTTTACAGATCTTCTTTATGCACCAAGAGCTTGTAACACTCCAAAGAGAAAGGAAAACTTGAAATCGCATCATATGACCCCTTTAACTCCAACTGCTTTGACTAACAAAAACGTTTGGCAATCGTTGATGTAGATGGCAAACAGAAAGGCAACTTGCTACAGTTTGAAATAGTTTTAATGTTATTTTAGCAAAGCAAAGGTCTTGGGTTCGATTCCCAGGGAATGCATCGAATTGAAAAAAAAATCGGCGTTATGCAAATCTTCCCACAGAGTGATGTAGATATGTGGGGGTGTGTTAGAACGAGGCGTTTTAGGAGTGCTACAGTTTGAAATAGTTTTTATGTTATTTTAGCAAAGCAAAGGTCTTGGGTTCGATTCCCAGGGAATGCATCGAATTGAAAAAAAATATATAGTTTGAATGCAATGTATAAAAGCAACTGCCAAATGCTTATGTTAATATAACACTATATGTTACTAAGCAACAAGCAAATTGTATCAAAATTGTATCAGAAAGGATCAATGCAACAAGAGTTACAGAACAAAAATGAAAATGCGTGTCTGAAATCCTAGTAAGAGGCTTGATTAAGAGCTCAGTGTTTGTCTGAAGTCCTGTTTTATTGACTCATTACACACTCGTCAGCGTCTGAGATACACTCAGAATAATAATTATTGTGTGGTTTCCTCATTGATAGCGAAGGCTTTAGTGCTGTTTTATATGCTCAAAGCTTCTACAGTGAGATTTCAGGTGTTCAATCTTGTCTGTATGCTGTTTTTGTCTCACAAATATGTATAATATATATTTAAAATACAGAAATAGTTAATGTTTTGGCCTTTTCTCTAATGTAGTGGGTCACGCGCTTCATTCCACGATGCATTCTGTTCCTTTTCTAATTTATCTTATTCAATAATTAAAAATAAGATACAAATTATACAAAACGAAATTCTTTAAAAAAAGGACTTTCCACAAAACAAAACACATGAAGAGGTCAAAAATTGTGTCTGGCCCACTCCATTACTTTATGACATTTACAAATTACGCCGTTTTCTTTCATAATTAACAGATTAAACAAAACAAATAATATTTAAACATAAAACAAAATTACATTTTCTTAAATGGCTACAATGGTTAATATTTCAATAATTTAACATTTAAACATGTTCACATTTCTCTAATGTTTTATTTTGATTGTTTTTTATTATTTCTTTATTGTATTTATATTTCATCTTTTTACTATGAATTTTATTTTGATGGTTTTAAATAAGTATTTGTTTAAATTTGTTCATTTATTTCAAATAAAATATTTCATATTTTTTTGTTTTATTTAGATTTTTTTAATGTTTAAAGTATTTCTTTATTCGTTTTAATTTTTTATTTATTTAAAATTAAATATTTAATGTTTTTATTGTTTTATTAAATTTTTGTCAAAGTATTCATTTATTTTTTTGGAATTTATTTAAAAAAAATTATTTTATTTTTTTACAGTTTTACTGTTTTTGATAGTTTTTATTTACAAATATTTAATTATGTATTTCAAATAAAATATTGAACCTTTTTAGTGGTTTATTTTGACTGCTTTTATTTTCAAATGATTGCTTTATTTTAATTCATTTTAAATAAATTATTTAATCTTTTTTAGTAAGTGTTTTATTTTGATTTTATTTTGTTTGTTTTTATGTTTAAAGTATTTCTTTATTCGTTTAAATTTGTTATTTATTTAAAATTAAATATTTAATGTTTTTATTGTTTTATTTAATTTTTGTCAAATTATTCATTTATTTTATTTGGAATTTATTTTTTTTAAATTATAATTTTTTTTTACAGTTTTACTGTTTTTGATTGTTTTTATTTTAAAATATTTAATTATGTATTTCAAATAAAATATTGAACCTTTTTAGTGGTTTATTTGGACTGCTTCTATTTTCAAATTATTGCTTTATTTTAATTCATTTTAAATAAATTATTGAATCTTTTTTAGTAAGCGTTTTATTTTTATTTTAATTTGTTTTGTTTTTTATTATTAGTTAATTTAAATTTTACTTTGTCTAATAAAATATTTCATCTTTTTTAGTAAGTGTTTTACATTTTATAATGAAGTTTTATTTTTTTCCAGAACTCCAGAACATTGTGTTTGCTGCATCTATATTTATCTATCTGCTGCATCTATTTCATAGAAGAAAAAAATTTGACATAAAGTGATTTACTTTTCATTTTTCAAATCCGTGCATGTGTGTAAAAATGTGTTGTCCGGCTGTTTTCTAGTGTCTTACTCAGCAGACGTCCGGAGTCGTTGTCCTTCTCCATTTTCCAATCGGTGTAAACAAGTTCACCGTCCTGAGAGAGATGCAAGCACAGCCAGAACAGCAATATGCAAAAATACTAAAAGTCAGAATCAATTATATTACAAGCAGCTTATGTGTTTTAGAAGAATATGTCTCATGCATTCAGAGAGTAGAGCTGGAAAATGTTTTCTGACTGTTCTGTCACTGAAATGCATTGCATGCATCTCACCTCCGTCCCCACTTTCAGGTTGGTGCTGATGTTCTCCAGAGTTTTCTGCTGCTTGGCCGAAGGCACCCGGAGCTGCACGAACCCACAGCCTTCCTCACGCTCCGCATTCTGTGGAGGTTTGTCTCCTGAAGAGAAGACCGATACGAGGAGAAACTCTAATCAGGATCTAATCAACACTGTGCATGAGATGTGAGTAGAAATTGGCTTTGGCCTTCAGTTGGATGGTAACATTTTTTGGAGTCACACAGTAATGCATTGTCTTCTAATGCAGCTCTTCCCAAACGTTTTTGTCAGCAAAACCCATTTGAGCTAAAATATTTCATTGTGGTCTACTTGAGATCTTAAGTTAATACTTTAATAATTTAACAACACATCTGCATGCTCACGATTCTTTGATGTCGGTTAATGTTAATGTCACATGACATGCAGGAAATAAAACATTGAGTTTTTTAAGACAAAATATTTTATTTCGTTTATTATTTTGGTTATTTATTTATTACATTCGTTATTTATTTATTTTAAATTAAATAGTAAATTTTTTTGTAGTAACGTTTTATTTAATTTAATTTTTTATTTTTTTGTAATTTATTTCAAATAAATTATTTAATATTTTTTAGTAATTGTTTCATTTTGTATTTTTAGGATCATTAAGTTTTTTCCCCCCAGAACTTTGTTTGCGCTGCGTGTATATATAAGAGAAAAACAGCGTTATAATTTATGAGACAAACACACACAAATATATACATATATATATATATATATTTTTTTTTTTTTGTGCAAAATAAATATTTATGCTCAGAATTGCAAGATGTAAACAGAATTCTGGGGAAGAATTCTGAGGAAGAAAAGTCAGAATTGTGAGACATAAACTTAGAATTCTGAGAAAAAAGTCAGAATTGTAAAATGTAAACTTTGAATTCTGAGAATACAAATCAAAATTGAGACATTTTTTGAAAATGTTTTATTAAAAATTGTGAGATTTTTTTTCGAGAAAAAAGTCAGAATTGCAAGATGCAAACTCAGAATTCTGAGGAAAAAAGTAGAAATTGTGAGATATAAATTCAGAATTCTGAAAAAAAAAAAAAATCTCATCGCTTAAAAATAAACTTGCAATTATGGAAAAAAAAAAAAAAAACTGTCCAAATTATGAGATAAAAAAATTGAAATATTTTTTTATTCTGGGGCGGGAGGGGGGTTGAACAGAACTATGAGATGTCAGAATTCAGAGAGAAAAAAAAACGTCTGAATAATGAGATTAAAAATCGCAATTACCTTTTTATTTTATTGTTCTGTGGCAGACACTGACACTTCAAATATGTAAATAAGAACATTAGCCCAGGGTTTAGAAATGTACAGTGTGAAATTTATTGTTAACCGTAATTAAATAATGTGCAGTGTGAAGCGTGCAGCAAGATAACCCTGGATTGTGTCTGCCACAGGTCTCCTTACCAAAGATCGGCTCTAGCGGTGAATACAGTCCTCTGAAGTTCAGCTTGAGGGACAATACAGTCGACTATCCTACAGGTGAGACACCAGCACTGAAACACACACATGTATGTGGCTTGGTGAGACCTATAAAACACAGTGCAGTGATAATAATAATGCAGTCAGCATGATGCCTCTCTGTTAAATAAGCAACATTCACCATCACATCACTGACTCTACATCAGCTCATTACACAGAGACCAGGAGGTCCAGCTGATGAAGAGTTTCAGCATAATGTGTGCATCATATATTAAAGCAATAAGCCCCGTGAAGCCGTGGTTTACAGTGAATTTATAACAGCTAAGGGGGTTAAACTCTGCTTCACGTCGTGCCTAACAACGCCCCTTAGCTGTTATAAATTCACTGTAAACCACGGCTTCACGGGGCTTATTGCTTTAATATATGATGCACACATTATGCTGAAACTCTTCATCAGCTGGACCTCCTGGTCTCTGTGTAATGAGCTGATGTAGAGTCAGTGATGTGATGGTGAATGTTGCTTATTTAACAGAGAGGCATCATGCTGACTGCATTATTATTATCACTGCACTGTGTTTTATAGGTCTCACCAAGCCACATACATGTGTGTGTTTCAGTGCTGGTGTCTCACCTGTAGGATAGTCGACTGTATTGTCCCTCAAGCTGAACTTCAGAGGACTGTATTCACCGCTAGAGCCGATCTTTGGTAAGGAGACCTGTGGCAGACACAATCCAGGGTTATCTTGCTGCACGCTTCACACTGCACATTATTTAATTACGGTTAACAATAAATTTCACACTGTACATTTCTAAACCCTGGGCTAATGTTCTTATTTACATATTTGAAGTGTCAGTGTCTGCCACAGAACAATAAAATAAAAAGGTAATTGCGATTTTTAATCTCATTATTCAGACGTTTTTTTTTCTCTCTGAATTCTGACATCTCATAGTTCTGTTCAACCCCCCTCCCGCCCCAGAATAAAAAAATATTTCAATTTTTTTATCTCATAATTTGGACAGTTTTTTTTTTTTTTTTCCATAATTGCAAGTTTATTTTTAAGCGATGAGATTTTTTTTTTTTTTCAGAATTCTGAATTTATATCTCACAATTTCTACTTTTTTCCTCAGAATTCTGAGTTTGCATCTTGCAATTCTGACTTTTTTCTCGAAAAAAAATCTCACAATTTTTAATAAAACATTTTCAAAAAATGTCTCAATTTTGATTTGTATTCTCAGAATTCAAAGTTTACATTTTACAATTCTGACTTTTTTCTCAGAATTCTAAGTTTATGTCTCACAATTCTGACTTTTCTTCCTCAGAATTCTTCCCCAGAATTCTGTTTACATCTTGCAATTCTGACTTTTTTCTCGAAATTCTAAGTTTACGTCTCATAATTTTGACCTTTGTTCTCAGAATTCAAAGTTTACATCTCGCAATTTTTTCTCAGAATTCTACGTTTACACTTTACAATTCTGACTTTTTTCTTTTCTATCTTGCAATGTAGTTGTTTTTGTTTCTGTCATGGAATAATAAATAAAAAAGGTAATTGCAAATTTTTGTGTCACAACATTTTGTTGCTTATTTTTTTTGCAATTGCAATTGCAACTGCAAGATGTAAACTCAAAATTCCAAGAAAAAAAATCTGAATTGTGCAATTACCTTTTTTATTTTTTAATCCCTTGGCGGTAACAAGCTTCCATTCCTGTTTACATAATGTCTCTAGCATTGCGCATCTTCATATTATACATTGCCGACTGTACTATCAAGTTTTTCTTTGGACTTTTCAGATTATATAAGAATAAAACGGTCTCTTCTTCAATCCACTTGATGTGTTTTCTTCACCATTTGACATTTGTCCCCTCAAACGCTGAAGCGACGCTCTGTTTCCGTTACTATCCAAAGCAAGTCAATATGAGTCAGCGATTGGCTGTTGGTTGCTAAGTGTCTAGCCACATGGTTTCACACTGTACATACTCGGATAAATGGTTTCCAGGTCAGGTTGAGGTATTGGGAACACCAATAGGAGCGCATGTGATCAGCTGAACAGAGATACAACTCGGATTTTCCACTGGGATCCCTAATTTGGACAACTGAGTGAGAAATTAATGAACATTAATATTTCAGTGTGTCCATGGCCAATTTAATTCAATGTTGAACTCTTAAAGCTACAGTAACAGTTAACCCCTTGTGTACCTCAAAGGTTTCCAGCAGCCACTGGATGTCTGTGATCGGAGCTTTGTGTCCGTTGTCTATCCCAGATACACCACACTACCGCACCACTGGAGTCACATTGTTTTTGTCCTGGAATAATAATTTGTGAAATTTAGAGTAAAAATGGGCAGCTGTGGTTGCCAGAACTTTACTATATTTTTACAGTTTAGTTTTACATATTTTAATTTACAGATCTTAAATTTCCAGGGGGAAATAGAGTATTTCATAAACTGAAACATGGTAATATACCGAGAAAAATTCTGAGATTTACAGTAAAAGTCGGCAGCTGTTGTTGCAAGAACTTTACCATAATCTGTAAATTTTACATATTTGAATTTACATAACTTAAATTTACAGTAAAAAACATTTTTCATTAACTGAAACATGTTAACATACCAAATATTTTACCTTTAAAATATAAAAAGCGAGAAAAAATCTGAGATTTACAGTAAAAGTCGGCAGCTGTTGTTGCAAGAACTTTACCATAATCTGTAAACTTTACTTATTTGAATTTACATAACTTAAATTTACAGTAAAAAATTTTTTTAATTAACTGAAATATGTTAATATACCAAATATTTTACCTTTAAAATATAAAAAGCGAGAAAAATTCTGAGATTTACAGTAAAAGTCGGCAGCTGTTGTTGCAAGAACTTTACCATAATCTGTAAACTTTACTTATTTGAATTTACAGAACTTAAATTTACAGTAAAAACATTTTTCATTAACTGAAATATGTTAACATACCAAATATTTTACCTTTAAAATATAAAAAGCGAGAAAAAATCTGAGATTTACAGTAAAATTCAGCAGCTGTTGTTGCAAGAACATTACCATAATCTGTAAACTTTACATATTTGAATTTACAGAACTTAAATATACAGTAAAAACATATTTCATTAACTGAAATGTTAACATACCAAATATTTTACCTTTGTAATATACTGACAACCATCTTTAAAAAATCCACTGTATATTATTAGATGACTTGTACTTTTTAACTTCCAAAAACTGTACATTTAACAATATTTTACTGTAATATTACATGAAATGTCCCATTAGATCAATTACAGAGAAAGGGAACTTACTGTAACCAATGAACAGGTTTTTACCTTAGCATTTTTACAGTTTTTTACCATTACAATTGCAATATTTTTTACAGTGTATCCGAATAAGCACATATCATAACATTGGATTGTTTTTACATAAAGCTAATAATAATGACTAGAAACTAACATAATCTTTATTTATACATCATTTTACATTTGAGGATGTCATGAAAGCCAGGTTTTGTCACATTTAGCTCACATCTGGACACAATATGGTGGTACAGGCAAAGTAAACGGCTGTAAACACACACACTCTCTTAATACCCACAGGTTTAATTTTCTGGAATTGTATAAGTGTGTTTGTATAAGGTATCAGTTAAACATCACTTAATTAAATGAGGAGTCATGTGACCGGTTGTGAACAGCTGCTAGTTTAAACACACAACTGCTGTGTGTGTGTGTGTAACTCACTAGTTTGTCTGAAATATTTTTGCCGTCGCTGCGTGTGTCCTGCAGTCTCTCCACATGTGCTGAGATATCCCATAATACCACCTGTAAACAGAAAACAAGCTAATGTAATGAGTTAAAAGTGTTACAGTATGATAACATGTCATAGATGATGCACATACTGTAGACTTATATTAAACATTAATATAACCAGAACACAATGTGTTTGGTATGTTTTAGGCCTTCGTGGGGAAGTGTTTCCAGAGATGAGGATTTTAAACCATTGAACACCATTTAAAAACGATGAAGTTTGACCTTTTAAAGGAAATAAAGAAGAAATAACATTTCTGCTGAGAGTGCATGGTAAGGCAAGGTAGGTTTAGATATCAAAGTGCTAAAAAAAAAAAAAAATACAGACAAAACCATTGTTTTTTTTCATGCACTGGTCAATTTTGAGATTTTGGGCTCTTTTGCTTCCAGAACATGTCATCTTTTAGACTACTGGGGAAAAAAACATCCAAAATAGACATTTAAGTATTTATTTTATTGTATTTATCAATTTGCGTCTGTAGATTTCAATTACAATACATTTTTGTAAAAGTTTTTTCTCCACTTCAGCAGCACTTACAAACACCAAACTTAACAGTTTTATTCCTCTCTGTATTCTGAAGGTTTTTACTGAGGGGTTTTTTCATATATCATTCACACTGATTTATATAACATTTTATTCCTAAAAACATGATGAAAATTTTTTTTTTCCGGTCTGTTGACAGTATTTTTTGATTTATGGAGTGATGAAAAGAGGAATCAAAAATCCCTTCTATAAAAACCTTTCATTTTAATATGTCAACAAAATCAAACAAGAATTTTGAACCTGGCTTTATCCAATGTTCAGATCTATTTTATGTAATTTTATTAGTGCTGTCAAATGATTAATCGCGATTAATCGCATCCAAAATAAAAGTATTTGTTTACATAATATATGTTTGTGTACTGTGTGTATTTATTATGTATATATAAATAGACACATGCATGTATATATTTAAGAAAATATGTAATGTTTATATATTAAATATATATATATTTAAATTAAATTATATGAATATAAATATAAACATGTAAATATTTTCTAAATATATATACTGTATGTGTGTGTGTATTTATATATACAAAATAAATATACACCGTACACACACATACAGTGGTGTGAAAAAGTGTTGGCCCCCTTCCTGATTTCTTATTTTTTTGATTTTGCACTATAGATATTTTATTTATTTTTTATTTTTTATTTTATATTTTATTATTTTACACTTTTATTTTAATTATTTTATTTTATTTTGCACTATGGCTATTTTATTTTATTGTTGATTTAATTATTTACTAAACTCATTTATTATTTGTTTACTTCTTTACTTTTACTAAATTTACTCATTAATCCTAATTTGTTCACAGTGAAGCTTGTGCTGACTGCTGATGGTGGGATGCCAGTGAATGTGGCTGATGGTTTTCTCTTTGCTAAACTGAAGGTCCATTATAATATATGTTTGTGTACTGTGTGTATTTATTATGTATATATAAATAGACACATGCATGTATATATTTAAGAAAAATATGTTATGTTTATATATTAAATATATTTATATATAAATTAAATTACATGAATATAAATATATACATGTAAATACATGTAGATATTTTCTAAATATATACTGTATGTGTGTGTATTTATATATACATAATAAATATACACAGTACACATACGTTATGTAAACAAAAACTTTTATTTTGGATGCGATTAATCGCAATTAATCGTTTGACAGCAATACATTTTATACAAATAACTGCATATTTAAATAGACTATGCCTCATTTTGCAGATTTAAGAGAAAAAAAATTCAGAAAATACACAAAAGAATTGTCTTAATGTACTGTGATTAATCAGCTGGGGTTGTATGGTAATATCTATTAGTTAACATTTTTCACCCTGTTCACCTGTAGTGTCTTACCTTAAAAATAATCACACAGATGCGCAAGAGACAAAATTAACAATAAAAAAGTAAAGAATGAAAGGATGAACAGTTTAAAGAAGAGCCTGAGAAAGAAAAGAGAATTTTTCTAAGCTAATTCTGCACCTGGCCGTTCATGCATCCGCCAGCGAACAGTGGACAGACGGATTCAGGTCAAAACAGCTCGTCTGCAGAACGTACCGTACTCAGATTTCACCTTCTACAATGAATCTCACATCAGCTTTATTGGAGCCTCATGCAAAAATCATCTGCTGAAATACTGAAACTTTATTCGGGTGTGTTGGGTTTCTGCTTCTATTTAAAGAGACACACAATAGAAAGTTTTTATTTACGCTGATCATGATATTTATATTCATGATAATTGGATGCCACATACTGAATTAAACAAAACTTAATGAGGTCATGTGAGCAGTGTAGCATATTACTGTTTTGAAAGCTATCAGTTTGTATTTTATACTTTGCATGCTATTTATTTACTGTACAGTATGCATTTCACTGGTACTCTAGTATACTTAATATATACTGGTGAATTTTATAATGACGATGATTACTTGTGGATTTATAGGGTCAGTGAAGTTCCAGAAGAGAATATAGGACGGGTTTAAAAGGAGTTTAGTGGAGTTATCGATCCGTTCTTCAAGAGAAAGTCTCTCTGTCATTGCCACAGCGATCACACCTGAGACACACATTTATTATGCACAATAATAAAAATGTAGTGCAAATTGATCACATTTGATTGCACATAAAATCCAGATAGACACACAATCATTCATGCATTCGTCAGTTTTTATCTTTTAAGTTTAAGTGCAATGGTTCTTTCCCAACTTTTGTTAAATGTGTTGTTTGTTCACTTTGTTTATTTAATTTTTTTGTTTTGCACTATGGCTATGTTATTCATTGTATTTTATTTTGCACTCTGGATCATTTTATTTTATTATTTTATTTTTCACTACTAAATTTACTCATTAATCCTAATTTGTTCACAGTGAAGCTCGTGCTGACTGCTGATGGTGGGATGCCAGTGAATGTGGCTGATGGTTTTCTCTTTGCTAAACTGAAGGTCCATGAAGGACTGATATTCCTTCAGCTGCGTCTCAGTTTTCTGTGTCAGTGCACCGTTGTCCTCACACAGCACCGTCCAGTCATCACAGAAAACATCTGTGATGCGATTCTGCTGAAGGGAGATTTCAAACCTGCGAGACATCAGGTGAGTTCAGAATACATTAACACAGCATGGCATGCTAACGGAGGAAGAAAACAGTTGTGTTGGTCTAATGAAGTGAGTTGTGGGACCACAGAGATGTCACGTTCACCTCGTCCTACCTTATCAGCACAGATGTGATGAAGTTCTTCAGGTTTTCTGATCGCAGGTGATGTTCTTTCTCCTCAGGGCTGCGTCCACATGTTCTTTGGGTACTTCCTGTAACAGATGCATCATGGGATGTAAATATGTTCCGTCTGCTAACTAAACTTTCAGAACAAACTTCAGAGAGAGTTGAGACAATGTGAATGTCTTGAGGTGTTTGTACCACAGTGTCTGAGTGGACGAGTGTTTGGTGTCGCTGGAGGCCTGAATGGCCGTGTGTCTCTCAATCTCTCTGATGCTGAAGCTCTTGTCCCGGTCTGTCTGTCTGTCTGTCTGTCTGTCTGTCCATATATTTGTCTATCTATCTATCCAACCATCCATCCATCCATCCGTCCATCCGTCTGTCAGTCCGTCCTGTTTTCTCACCTTCAGTATGTTCTCTTTGGCCTCTACTGTGAGCACCAGATAGAAGCTCTGTCCGTATGTGAAGTCTCTGTCGAACACCAGCAGAAGTTCATCTTCAGGGTAGTCCTGCAGAAAACGAATAGAATTCCTTTCAGGGTCTCAACCTTCTGAACCAGATCTTTAACCACTAGGCTACTCTAAAACAGCTCCATCTGCCGAGGTTCGGATCTTCTTCAGCTCATGAATGGGTTCAGAATGTGTTTCTGAATCTCACCAGCACTAATTGTTTGATGGGGCTGAAGTCAGACACGGACGCTCTGGTTTTCATGTCCTGTACGATGTCTTCTTTTTTCAGCAGCTTGTAAGGTTTTTTTCCAGTTACATCCTCATCTTCCCGGCAACCAAACAGCTCCTGTGTGGCAGAGGTCAGGACCAGTGGGAAGATGTAGTCGGGATGGCCTGTGGGGGGTGGAGTCACTGCGATCAGGTATCTATAATACTGAATATACACTTTGAGTGGTTGCCTGGAGGTTGCTATGCAATTGCTAGAATATTGTGGATAGTTGTCAGGGGATTGCTGTGCAGTCACTAGAGTGTTGTGGGTGGTTGCCAGGGGGTTGCTATGCAGTTGCTAGAATGTTGTGGATGGTTGCCAGGGGGTTGTTATGTACTTGCTAGAATGTTGTAGGTTGTTGCTAGGGGGTGCTATTCAGTTGCTAGAGTGTTGTGGCTGGTTGCCAGAGCTTGTTATGCAGTCAAGAGTTGTTAAACAGTTGCTAGGTTGCCAGGGAGTTGCTATTTAGTCCAAAAGTGTTGTGGTGGTTGCCAGGGGGTTGCTATACAGTTCGGTTCCTAGAGTGTTGTGGATTGTTGCCTGCGCCTGCTATGCAGTCACTAGAGTATTGTGGGTGGTTGCTAGGGGGTTCCTATTCAGTTGCTAGAGTGTTGTAGGGGGTTACTATGCAGCCGCTAAAGTGTTGTGGGTGGTTGCCAGCGGGTTGCTATATAGTTTAGTTGCTTATAGTTTTGTTGATTTTGTTGCTAGAGTGTTGTGGTGTTTGCCAGGGGGTTTCTGTGCAGCCAATCAAGTGTTTTGCGTGGTTGCCAGGGGTTGCTATGCAATCTCTAAAGTGTTGTGGGTCGTTGCCAGGGGGTTGCTATGCAGTCTCTAGAGTGTTATGGGTCGTTGCCAGGGGGTTGCTATGCAGTCTCTAGAGTGTTGTGGGTCGTTGCCAGGGGGTTGCTATACAGTTCAGTTGCTAGAGTGTTGTGGGTGGTTACTAGGTGGAGAATCAGTAAAATTCTCCAGTTGCTCTTCGTTTAATCTCAGTGCTCAAATTAAAGTGATGTAATTTGAGACTTTTCATTCTTTTTAAGGCTAAGAGACAAATACATTATTGGGAGATTAAGTACTGTACTTCACAAAATTATTTAGTACATTTCCAGCATCTTGCATTGAGGATTTTCCCTTATTTTGTCTTACAGGTGTGACACAACCAAAAGCTCTCAGCTGTTTTGTCCAGTGTTTTACTGACAGATGTGCTCTTGAATGAGTGTGTTATACAAACAGAGATATCAGCTTCCCTTCAGAGCGCTATCTGTGACGTAACTGAACCTGAACTGACATCTAAGAGACTCCCAATGGAGGAGAGACCCGGCTTTTAGATTAAGTACATACAGCATACAATGATAATGAATGGTGACTGGAACTGTCAAGATTCAACAATGACAAAATAAGCAGTGTGAACATTTTTGGGTGAACTATTCCTATTCATGTCAAAGTGTGTGTGCATGTTATGTTCTGTGTGTGGCTTCACAGGTTTGAACACCTGAGGGAAATCCAGACATCATCAGCACAATCTCTCTCAACAGGAACCAGCTGAACATGTTGTAGCCGGTAACATCTGATACGAGCAACAGCGTTCAGGTCATTTAATCCAGAGGAGCCGATGGCGCTTTACTGCAAACTCATATGGTTTTATAGCCCCTATAATTACATAATTGCGCTTTCTTTACCAACCGAACACACGTGCCCTTTAGAAAACATTGAAAGGAAGTTGTCTGGGATATTGAACAAGCCGTGTTAGACTTTAATGAGAGTTTATAACATTACAAGCCCTAATTTCACTGGTAGAAGCAGTTTGTTATCATGCAGTAGCCTGTTTTGGCCAGAAGAGGACAGGTAATGATTTTATCCATGTGTCAACGCTTAAATGCAAACACAAACAAAATACAAAAGGGTATCTAGATGCATTTTTATGATGTAGTAACAAATCCTGGCACTGCCGTATTGTCTTAATATGTAGCCTACTAAAAAGTATGTATGTTGTATGAGTAGGACAAGTAGGGAAACTGGACTCCGAGAACAAAAGACGAGAGAAAGGAGGTCTTGGCTACGTGCCTCCAGACATGTCGTTTGTATCTCAGTATCTTTAATCTGATAACAGCTCCTGGATAAATGGAAAAGAACAAGTGGATTCATGCTGGAAACAACTCAGAGAATCTGATTAGGACTGATTTTGGTACAAGAGACCCCAATCGACCATGTAAGTGGTCTTCAGAGACAATAAAATAAAATGCTACAAAAAGCGCTAAATATGACCCTATAAGAGCGATATGAGACACTTACCAGGTTCTGATGCACCTACATCTGGAGAGGGATTTTTTTTTTTGCAAATCTGCAAAAAATTTAAGATGTTAGAAATTGGAAGATGCTTTGAACACTGAACAATGATTTAGTGTTAGGTTAGGATTAACACTATAAATAGTGATAACAGTATTAATAATAATACAATGGGTTTTTTTCTTGATTTGGATGGAATATTTTTACCTTTTTCCTTGATTTTACTGGCCTCTTTGCTCCTGGGTCTCTTTGAACTCATGTCTGCTGGTGGAAAAGACAGTAAGAGAGATTTCATTTAGGTTATTGTCTCTATTCCTCTGAAACAGAGTCTATGTGTGCAATAGCATACTATTAACCCTCAAATGGTCCTCGTTTAATGTTTACACTTATGGTCTTTGGGGTCAATATGACCCCAAAATTGAAAGAGTAATTGTAAAAAATATATACATTTTTAATCATACAAATAATATATGATTTTTTTTTGTTTACTTCTCATCTATACATTAATGCTGTGTTTTGGGAGATATGAAGTACTTTTGTTCCTATTTACCACAGAATTCCGCAACTACACCATTAGCTTGCATGTGAAATATTACATTTTTATGAAAAAATCACTTAAATGATGATCTAAATTTAATTTAAGTTGTTTCTGGATATTGATCTAGGTGTTAGGTGTAGAATTCTGCCATCTGTTGGTTAGAGATAAACCTAAAATTATTACAGTTTAGGAAAGAAATAGTTTTGACCAGCAGAGGGCCATAGAGAGCCATTCATTTTACTGGATGTGGCCAACTGCTCTTATCACAACTTTTGTTATACATTTTGTGACTTTATGTATATACAGGTGCATCTCAATAAATTAGAATGTCGTGGAAAAGTTCATTTATTTCAGTAATTCAACTCAAATTGTGAAACTCGTGTAATTCAATGCACACAGACTGAAGTAGTTTAAGTCTTTGGTTCTTTTAATTGTGATGATTTTGGCTCACATTTAACAAAAACCCACCAATTCACTATCTCAACAAATTAGAATACTTCATAAGACCAATAAAAAAAA